AGAGACGTTCTACTGAAAGCTCTGGCAGGTAGGTTTGTTATTTGGGATCTGTACCTTCTACACAGGTCTCCGAGCCGGATAGTAGCAACCTTCCTCTTCAAATCATTCAGTGATGAAAACGACTACCGTCCTCTTGTACGGCGTAGCCGGAGCTGCCGCTATAACCACTCTTTTGAGTATAGTTACTGTAGGATATCTTGTCAACGACATTAATGACTTCTATGCTGAAGCTATGAGAGAATTTGCCGATTTCAAGGTATGAACTGAGCTCATCCACCGTGCCTACCCAACAGACACCTCATTGTGTTGTTTCAGGACATCGCGAATTCGGCTTGGTACGAAATGCAACCTACCCCAGCGGAAAGTCGTTATCAGCTACAATCACTCCTTCGCCAACGTCGAATGATGCCGGATTATTGTGACTGCGCGCCACGAGCAGAAAACTGTCCTATCGGCCCTCCCGGACCTCCCGGAGAACCAGGCCTTCCGGGCTTAATGGGGATGCCTGGTGCTAACGGACGAAGAGGCTACGATGGCATGTCGATTTATGGACCAGGAGGAGGAGCAGGAGGTTGCATTAAATGTCCTATGGGTCCTCCAGGAGCACCCGGTCCTGATGGGCCTCCTGGGCCAAGAGGGCTGAACGGGATGCCTGGTAGTGACGCCTCGGCTCCGAGGATTGGTCTTCCCGGACCTCCAGGACCACCAGGAGAAGGCGGTCCGCCCGGAGCACCGGGGGAAACCGGTGCACCGGGAATGCCTGGCCTCGGTGGAACTATTAGAAAGGTCCTTCCAGGGCTTCCTGGGCCACCAGGACCACCAGGAATACCGGGACCTGTAGGAAAAGCTGGAGAAATGGGGCAGGCTGGTATGCCTGGGCCACCTGGTCCACCTGGACAAGCTGGATCACCTGGGATGCCAGGTATGGACGGAACACCAGGTGAACAAGGAACCATGGGTGAGCCCGGTTTTGATGCTGGATATTGTCCTTGCCCGGCTAGAAGTAGTGCATTGTCAAAGTACTCGAGACCGGGTGGAGTGGAGATGAATTCGGTAGTAGATCGCATAGTAGTTCGATCGCTAAAGGATGACCCTACTGCAGACCTAAAACCAACAAAAAGGAATAAGTATACTGCTAGGGAGGCACCTTTACGGAAGTTTAGCGGAAGGGTATCGAGAGCTTAGTTAGCCCATATGATTTTGTAGTTTGCCAAATTTATATTGCATTTGGATTGTAGAAAAAAATAGAGCTGAAATAAACGTTTTAAAATCTAGTCGACTTTCACCTACTTTACCTACATCTATTGTTCATGAAGATTGTTTCGGGAGAAGCCAGAATGGTAAAGACTGGCTTCGGGTGAATTTCATTTCAATCGCATAAGCCTAATAGTCAATTCCACTGCTCAAGAAGGCCATTTATCCTCAAGAGTCCTCATGGGCAGCATTTCTTTCTAGCATACATAGGAAGACCATATCATTATGTCGGCACTGTCAAAGAATAACGCTGAGAACTCGTCGAACTTCAGCGAAAAAAAAACCTTCGGAAAAAACTAGTCAGAGTGTATGTCGGCCTCTTCCAGAACATGGAGTCTCAGTGATTTCAGTGAAATATGTCTCATCAATAGCACAGAATGACTCTTGCTTCGTTATGGTAGCTATGGAAACTTCTGAACTCCCAGTGGAAGAACACAGTAGTCGCCGTAAGATCGCCGCCAAATGCTGTGGTAGTTCGGGAGGACTATCACCTTCCCTTAGCTAATTGTCTCGCTACACAGCATACTGTTCGACAGCTCCACTACCTACAAAACGTTTCCTTTCTCTACTTTTCCCTGTCTAATAGTATACCGTGCCATATTCAGGGGAGAAGTGCCTCAATTACCACTGGTTACCCCTGTTGAATGACGTTAATCGCATTACTTGCGGCAGTGTGGCAGTTTTCGAAAGCAGTTAATGTCCTAAATA